TCAGATCAGTAAAACAATAGATCAGTATACTTATTTATCATTTTTCATTTAACTTCCTCAGTTAATGGTTTTAATGCTTTCCTTAACATTTTTCCACTTCTATTTTCCACTGGAATTTTGTACTTTTGTCCAGGTTTTCAATAACCTGGAAAGCATTTGTAACTTGTTTAGCAATCTGGTTTTATTCCACTCACGCATTAAATCTTGTCCTACCACATCACATCCTGTTTGCAATGGGTACTGAATAATAAGGCCTGCTGCACTTTCTCAGTGCTGGTTCATGGTATTGCCAACACAAGAGAAGAAAATGTCTTTGGAGTGTCAAAGACAGCTTGTCAGGGAAAGCATCCACCAAAGTGCAGAGCGATACACAATTCTGTTATTACTCCCGGAATCACCAATAAAAGGTAGGAAAGGGGTCAGCTTGACTCATACCACATATATGTCAATTTTATCTGACCTAAAATGTGAAGGCCACCTGTCTACATGCCCTTTCTATGGTCTGAACAAAGTCACAAACACACAGAGTTGCTAAACCTCCATGGGCTACCAGAAACTTTCTACATTTAAGATCAAAGTACTCACAGTCATACTGTCCTCCTGTTCTTCTCATGAACCACAATGAATCAGGCTAAACACTGAGGGTGCCCTCCAGACAGTCTGAGCCTCTATCATAGGGTGGATTATTAAAACTGCAAATTGCTTGCCTACAAGAGGACTGCTTGGCCATGCTCAATTCCTTCCTTCCACTGAACCACAGGGAGAAGTTTCAAATAGTGTACCTGTTTCCAGCTGTCTTGGTCAAAGGTGATGACAGGTTTTCAGATGTGACTTGCCAAATATCTACTGATGATCAAACTTATATTCCCTTTGCAATTTTTTCCAGTGGTATTTATTAGGCAAAATCCCTACTACCTCTTAATTCAATCCATTGTCCACTACCTGAAAACAAACATCAACTTTTAGGTCAACTTAAAGAAAAAAATAACTGTTCAATATACTTGTATTCATCTAGTAAGCACAACACTTACCAATAGCATACAATGTAAGTTCTATGTTTAACAGTTTCACTTATGTGTAGGAATAATTTCAGTGTAATAACACACATATCCACTACCTGAAGAATATAATATTATAATTCAGTTAATACATTTTGGAGCTTAGTTTTATCAGGAATTGGTTTGCTTGTTTTTCATTAAAAAGTCTTGGCCAAATCAAGAAATGAACCTTTTTAATCCAAATTGTTATGCTACTCTATGCTGAGAAACAGCACATGAAATTTCTACAGCAGAAAAGGCTGTTGAAGGCTTGAATTGCCCTATACTGGGGGGGGGAGCAAGCTTATAAAATGGTGCAGTGGTGCTCAGAAAAGTCATTTAATTGGATATCTAAGATGTGAAAGAGGGGAACCTTTTTAAAAGTGCAGTTTTCCAGAAACAGGCCTTTCTTTTTGTGATAATCAGGACAATTAGGTGAGAGTAAAGGAGGCTCACAAGTTTTCTCTCCTACCAGAAGAGGACATTCTACCTTTATTTTAGTGCTTGCTCTGTGGGAGAAGCCAGTTGTAGGAGAAATCACATCGGATGATACATGCATCCAGGACCACAGCAGGGTGTTTGAGTCTTTTTCCTCTCCCTTGAAAGTTAGGTTGGGAAATGTCAGGACAGGCCTTCGCATTTTCTGTCACCCAAAATCCATATCCCCTCCAAATAATCAGCTTTTGCTTGGAGTCCTATCCACATCCTCAAAAAACTTTATGCAGACATACTCCTTATTGAAGAGAGGGTCCTGAGGTGGTCCATTCTTGATACAGGCAACTGCCTCTCTGTTGAGAGGCAGCACATTGAGGGGAAAAGAGTAAAAGGAAATACATTATACTAGTACAGTGAATACCAACTTACCACAAAATAAATATTCCTCATATGTGTATGTATGTATGTATGTAAATAGCACATGTCACACAAGGTTACATTTGGGGATTATTTTTCCTCCTGCTCAGTATTTTGCTGCAATTTTCCTCAGAGACCAGCTACTTAATATTTTGGATTATGGAGCCTGTTGTCGCTACAGCTATATTAGAGATAGGACAAAGACACAGATTTTACATACACTGAGAGCTAAATCTGAATTTTCTGAAAGTTTGAGATGTTAGTATATATGGGAGGTTTAAAAGTTTTTATTATTCCAAGATCAAGACCAGCTGCAAAGATTGGATTCACATCCAAAAACATATATTAAAATTCATACACTTCTTGGTAGAAAGAAGTTTTAAAACCTGACAGGCTGAGAACAACACTTTTTGTGTTCTGCCTAACAATTCAGTTATAGATCAACCTTATTGGGTTTTGGGTAATTTAAATGTGATTGTTGGCAAAGCAGAAAGGGGTTGGGGAGTTGTACAGGGAAGCATACAGTGAAAAAGAAAGCATTTTTGATTATACACAATATCCCTGATGTTGTTACACACAAACCCAATATTTAGCATTTTAAAAAGAAGAAAAAAAAACAATAAAAGAAACAGCAGCTGTTTCTATGTGATGTCAGAGAGCAGGTGTGATACAAATCTCCGTACTAGTGCAATCATATTGATCTCCTGATGATACACACATGAAGCACACGTGCAAACGTTATCAACCCATCCGGCATCTCATTTCCAGGAATACAGCCTGAAAATGCCTCTTTAATTGAAAACATTATCAGGATAAGCACCGTATTGGCCAATTATTAAAAACCACAAACTAACTGGGGAAAAAAATAAAAGAGAAAAAAGAGAAAATGTGAGCCTGCCTCCGCAGCACGCCCCGGTATTGTTGCCGCTGGGCCCCCTCCGAGCCACCCGCGCTTGGGTGAGAAGCAGCTCGGCCCCTGCGCTGCCTCCAGGGGGAGGCAAGCTGCTTCAGGAGGTGAGAGGCGGCCTTGCGACGCCGCACCCCGCCCGGGCCGGGGGCCCGCTGAGCCGTGCCGGGGGGAGGAAAGGGGCGAGGGGGGACTGGCCCCTCGGGGCACCTTGCGCCTAGGATCCGTCCCCTCCGGGAGGAGAGGCAGCTTTTGAAACCGGCCCTTTATTTGCGTTTTGCTATTAGTTAATGTCATCTGCCATTAGAGGGCACTAAGCAACCCTGCATTAACGCTGCTCCGGCGAGCGAGGAGGGAGAGGCAAGGGGAGAGAGAGGCACCAGTTTGGGAAAAGATTAAAAAGGATATGGAGTCCCGGGTCTTCTGAAGTGTTCAAAATGCCCGGGCGCTGCTCAGAACGTTGATCATAATAATAACAAAACAAAACAAATGCAACGGTCAATCGTTTACCAGTCTGCTTCTTAATACGTGTGACCGCAGGTGGTACCGAGGGACATTGTGATTCATGCCCACTTTCAAAGCAGGACCAGGGCCCGGTCTGAGGCACCCAAACAACTGTCTTCTAATATTAGCACGGCTGTATTTCTGGATCTATTATAGTCTGTCCAGACAAATCCCATTGTAATGGGATCTTTTATTAAAAGATTAGTACTATCTCCTGCAGTTGGTGGAAAAAAATCTGTTATCACTTTGTTATTTGCAGTTGTGGGGAGGGGGCGGGCGGTGAGGGGAGCCGGAGGGCGGGAGAAGGGAGGAGGGGTGTGGGGAGGGCCGGGCGGAGGGCGCGGGCGGCCGCGGCGCACCGGCCCCTGACCCGGCACTGTCC